CATAGTTGTGTCATCATCAATCACAGACACGGTTTCGTGTCATCACCAATCACTGGCACATAGTTGTGTCATCATCAATCACAGACACGGTTTCGTGTCATCACCAATCACAGTCACATAGTTGTGTCATCACCAATCACAGACACATAGTTTTGTCATCATGAATCACAGACAAATAGTTGTGTCATCACCAATCACAGACACACAGTTGTGTCATCACCAATCACAGACACACAGTTGTGTCATCACCAATCACAGACACATAGTTGTGTCATCACCAATCACAGACACATTCTTGTGTCATCACCAATCACAGACACGGTTTCGTGTCATCACCAATCACAGACACACAGTTGTATCATCACCAATCACAGACACACAGTGGTGTCATCACCAATCACAGACACATAGTTGTGTCATCATGAATCACAGACACATAGTTGTGTCATCACCAATCACTGGCACATAGTTGTGTCATCACCAATCACTGGCACATTCTTGTGTCATCGCCAATCAGAGACACATAGTTGTGTCATTACCAATCACTGGCACATAGTTGTGTCATCGCCAATCACTGGCACATTCTTGTGTCATCGCCAATCAGAGACACATAGTTGTGTCATCACCAATCACTGGCACATAGTTGTGTCATCGCCAATCACTGGCACATTCTTGTGTCATCGCCAATCAGAGACACATAGTTGTGTCATCACCATCACTGGCACATAGTTGTGTCATCGCCAATCACTGGCACATTCTTGTGTCATCGCCAATCAGAGACACATAGTTGTGTCATCACCAATCACTGGCACATAGTTGTGTCATCGCCAATCACTGGCACATTCTTGTGTCATCACCAATCACTGGCACATTCTTGTGTCATCGCCAATCACTAACACATTCTCGTGTCAACACAAGAGTCACTGACACATTCTCGTGTCAACACCAGAGTCACTGACACATTCTCGTGTCAACACCAGAGTCACTGGCGCATTCTTATGGACGTTTTGAATGACTGGGGTATAATTAGCGCCAGTCGCTGGCGCGTTTATTGTGTATACTGTGGGCAGTCGTCCGCCTACACCTGTTCTCTATTGTCACATACAACATTATCTTTCTCCTCTTATCTATCTCTACACCTAACATCCGCCTACACCTATTACCTATTGCTACATCAAACATCCGCTAACTCCTCTTCTATACACAGAATGTACTTTTACATCGATGTCTTCTGTGTCCAGAAATGTATATGCCATAGACGTACTCACCTGTTGTTTCCCACGGCAGGTCGTTACTGCGCCATGTCTACAATGCAATTAACGGAGCCGAGTTTCTGTTACAACCAGCAGCCTCACAATGGGGATCATGGTTGTGATATGGACGCTAGCATGGCTGGAAACTCAAGAGTTCACATCTTCCTGTATACCCAGTGGCTCAATGAAGATACTAAAGAGTTCCCATCTTCCTGCATTCCGAGTGGCTCAATGAAGATACTCAAGAGTTCACATCTTCCTGCATATCGAGTGGTTCAATGAAGATACTCAAGAGTTCACATCTTCCTGCATACCGAGTGGTTCAATGAAGATACTCAAGAGTTCACATCTTCCTGCATACCGAGTGGTTCAATGAAGATACTAAAGAGTTCCCATCTTCCTGCATACCGAGTGGTTCAATGAAGATACTCAAGAGTTCACATCTTCCTGCATACCGAGTGGTTCAATGAAGATACTCAAGAGTTCACATTTTCCTGTATACCGAGTGGCTCAATGAAGATACTCAAGAGTTCACATCTTTCTGCATACCGAGTGGTTCAATGAAGATACTCAAGAGTTCACATCTTTCTGCATACCGAGTGGTTCAATGAAGATACTCAAGAGTTCACATCTTCCTGCATAACGAGTGGTTCAATGAAGATACTCAAGAATATCCAATCCAGCTTCCAGAGATCATAATGAGTTGTCGCAAACCGGTATTACCAATAGTTGATCTAGCCTGATGTGACCTGCAGGACGCCATGGTGTCTCTGGTAATCTATTACGGTACTGGATGTCAAGAATGATAGCATCAATGACAGACCAGCTTGGCTTTAAACATTTGGCTAGGTTGTAGGTGTGGGGTGGTACCTGCAGCATTTAGAATTAACGTGTGATTAGTCAACATAAATCAGTCATTAGCAAGCTTCTAACACTGGCCGAGTCACTGCGGAGGAGATGGATTTGTCCGCAGTGTTGTTATGACATTCTTACCACTATAAAGGCACTTATTCCAGATTTGCTATTTCAGATGCTCTGGCCAGAAAGCATGAACGTGGTGTCAACAGTTCTTGTGATCTACGTCACCGGTGTCGCCCTGACAAATGCCTGCTTGCTGCAGGTGAGTATAGACCAGTGGTTATCAACTTGTGGGTCGCGACCCTGTATTTTGGGGTCGAACGACCGAGTAGCAAGAACTGCTATGTACAGGCCCCATCTAAAAAAATGGGACATGCCAGCGCGTAACTCTGCCAGTCAAGTCAACCGTACCTACAGGTGGTGCTACCTGTTGTAACAGACACGGCTCTGGCGCATAGCGAGTCTCCATCGCTAAAAAATGGACCCCTGATGCTTGAAGGGGTTAAATACCAGGCTATGGCTGTCTAAGCCAGACAGAAACCCTTGGCGGAGGGTCACCCCCGCCCCTTTTTTGTGTGTTTTAGGTGCGGCTGAGGCTGGTCGCACTGGTGCGTGGACATGTCCCGATCCCCTCTAAGGTCACACCCAGGGATCCCATCCTAGACAAAGGCGGAGAAGAGGAAATTCCCACGACCTCTGACAGGCAGTGTTTGGATGAACCAGGACACGGATAGGGAGACTCCGTATCTTTTTCCCACCGAAGACGACATGTAGGCCTGAATGACGTGGGCACCAAGAAATGGAAACAGACATCAACTCAATCTGCGGTTAATTAGTATGCTTCGATACCTACACCTGCTCCTGTGGACTACTGCCAGGCGGGAACAGCGTCGGATTCCGATCCTCGAAGGGATTTACCCCAAACTACTGACGGTAGCTCTGTGCATCGGTGGACCAGGATTAGGCAGAGTTACGTAACTGACCAAAATAATACCACAACACTAAAGATAATGCAGTGGAATGCAGAAGGGGTCATGATAAAAAAGCTCGAACTGATTACTTTCATAAACGAACAGAAGATTAATGTTGTCTGCATTCAGGAAACCCATTTAAATACAGGCTCCTGCTTGTCTGTCAGAGGATATAAGACATATAGACTAGACAGAAGTTGCCACAAAGGAGGCATCATTAAATTAGTTTAAAAATACTATTGCAGCTACAGAAACTTCAAGAAGCATCAGTGAGTCTGAACTTCTGACCGTACAACTTCATATACTTCCAGAACCGTTACACGTTACTAACTTTTACTGTCCCAACAACAAGAAATTGGAACTAGAGGACATCCCAGTGGCTGATAAGAGACATCTAATTCTTTGTGACTTTTACAGTCATTCCCATGGGTGGGGCTATGCTTCTATGACACAAGAGGAGAAGAGATAGAGGATTAGATGTAGAATAACCTGCTGATACTAATCAATGAACCTGACTCTGAAGCAACATTCTACTCTAGACGATGACGAACACAAAACACACAAGACAAGAGACAGAACATGTTGAAGATCCATTGCAGTCAACATTCACTGTGGAGACGGCACTTGATTGATTGATTGAGATTGCAAAGGTTTAGATACTTTTAATGCCTGAAATATGTTGATAAGAATTTTCATTGTCGCAATTTTTTCCCCAGTGCAATTCAATCGCATATTCCTTCATTTAGCATATTGTTCCGTTTATTGTTTGGCGGCGATAGTTCGGGGTTTGATACCTCTGCTTTGGAGCGAGTTACTAACCCTTCACACCATGTGACCTAAAGGATAAATGTGAAAAGGGGGGTGGGGGAGAAGGAAAAATGAAAGGGGGGGGGGGCTGACTTTGTGGGGATATTCCGTTTTCAGCTAGCTAATTATATCTGTGGGATGTCCCTTTTTCAGCTCAAAGTATGGTCAGCCAATCGATGTGTGGTCGACATCACGCCTCCTGTTCTGTTCACTCCCCATGACTATTCCTAGTACCCCTAAAGACTGGGTCGACCTAGAAGCCTGAAGTCCTTTACTGATATCCGCGCCAATGCCGATTCGAACCCCAGAGCTTGGGCAAGGGTCTAGTCCCTGTCCGATTTATGCTCCCTGAATAAAAATTAAGACATCCTATCCTATACAGTATATAACAATTGCTATTATCATATATTTACTTGCGTGTAAATACAAATTACTGCTACAAAACAATTTCTTGCATCTAAATAACAATGACACATGTTTTAAATTAAATCCCTCCTACAAACAGAGGAAACAGTGAGCTCAGCCATCATGGTGGGATGAAAACGTTGGAAGGGTATGCTTAGGGAAAAGAGGCAGGCTGTCAAGGTGTGGAAGAAGGCGAGGAAGAGTAACAAACACATCACAGTCTGAGCTCCTGACTGAACAGAAAGAAAAGATTTAAAAGACGCTCACCTTGAAGCTATGCTCCAGGCAGGTCAAGAAATAGAAATGGTCGACTACTGTAAGAAGGTGTATCCCAGACTTTCTAAGCGCAGATCTGACAAGGCAGAAATCTGATGCAGATAAAGGACAGGCTCTCCTTCAGCACTACTTGGACCAGACCGAGCAGAAAGATGAGGCAGCCGGCCAGATAGTTAAGTCAAAACTTTCAGAGCTGTGTGAAAAGGCAGAGCTAAGTGACGATTTCAGTATTACAACTGAGACCATACGGGCAACACCCAGGAAATCATCAACCATGACTGTACCAACATCACAGAATGAGACAAGATAACAGATGTACTAATGTCTGTACCAAGAGCACAGAATGAGACAAGATAACAGATGTACTAATGTCTGTACTAAGATCACATAATGAAACAATGATAACACCTGTACTATTGTTTGTACTCAGTGTGTGCAAGAAGTCATCAAGTGCCAACAAAACGAGAACATGGGTTTCTCCTCTCAGATAGAATGTTGTGACAAGTATACATTGTGTTACTTCTTGTGTCAGCCTGAAGCCATCACAGCTCCACTGTAAGTTCTTCACAGCTTCACTGTAAGTTTATCACAGCTCCAATGTAAGTTTTTCACAGCTCCACTGTAAGTGTATGACAGCTCCACTGTAAGTTTATCACAGATCCAGTGAGTGTTTATCACAGCTCCACTGTAAGTTTATCACAACTTCAATGTAAACTATCCCAGTTGCATTGTAAGTTTATTACAGCTCTGCTGTAAGTTTATTACAGCTCCGTTGTAAGTTTATTACAGCTCCAATAAAATTTTAATACATCTTCACTGTAAGTTTATTACAGCTCTGCTGTAAGTTTATTACAGCTCCGTTGTAAGTTTATTACAGCTCCAATAAAATTGTAATACAGCTTCACTGTAAGTTTATTACAGCTCTGCTGTAAGTTTATTACAGCTCCACTGTAAGTTTATTACAGCTCCAATAAAAGTTTAATACAGCTTCACTGTAAGTTTATTACAGCTCCAATGTAAACTATCATAGTTCCACTGTAAGTTTATTACAGCTCTAATATAAACTATCATAGTTCCACTGTAAGTTTATTACAGCTCCACTGTAAACTATCCAAGATAATCACTAGCTCATAGTTCAAACACTGTAAGTTATCATCAGCAGCTATCAACCACTGTAAGATTATCACAGCTCAACTGTAAACTATCAAACCTCTACTGTAAGATTATCACAGCTCAACTGTAAACTATCAAACCTCTACTGTAAGATTATCACAGCTCAACTGTAAACTATCAAACCTCCACTGTAAGATTATCACAGCTCAACTGTAAACTATCAAACCTTCACTGTAAGATTATCACAGCTCAACTGTAAACTATCAAACCTCTACTGTAAGATTATCACAGCTCAACTGTAAACTATCAAACCTCTATTGTAAGATTATCACAGCTCAACTGTAAACTATCAAACCTCTACTGTAAGATTATCACAGCTCCATTGTAAGATTATCACATCTCCATTGTCACCAAAAGCATGTCGTAAGAGTCGACTAATTGGGGAGCTTCCTTTGTGCATCTGCCGGAGAGGCAAGGAACCAAATGAGATCTGTAAAACTGATGCACACGCAACATTCAGGTTCTGGAGAAGGACTGCAGTTCAGTAATGGACGAGCAACCAGAACTTTCCGCCAGAGGGTACAGCTGGTGAACGCGAAGAAGAAGAAGTATAGCATATTTATCCAGCCGTGTCCTGTTGTGCCACTATAAGCCAAATACAGCTCACATTTGGATCCTTTATTCTATTCCATCTTGTGCTGTCAGTTCCATATTTTGGGCGGAATCCAGCAGAGCAGCTTTGTCTTTTTCATCAACGTACGTTTTAGGACATCCTCGCCTCCTCGGTCACTTCATTTCCCATTTCAGTGCCTGTTGTCTGATCCTCTGCTGGCTTCTTCTCCGGATAAAATATATCACAGCTTCACTATGATTACATCACAGCTTCACTATGATTATATCACAGCTTCACTATGATTATATCACAGTTTCACTTTGATTATATCACAGCTTCACTTTGATTATATCAGTTTCACTAGGATTATATCACAGCTTCACTATGATTATATCACAGCTTCACTTTGATTATATCAGTTTCACTAGGATTATATCACAGCTTCACTATGATTATATCACAGCTTCACTATGCTTATATCATAGCTTCACTATGCTTATATCACAGCTTCATTATGCTTATATCACAGCTTCACTATGATTATATCACAGCTTCACTATGCTTATATCACAGCTTCACTATCATTATATCACAGCTTCACTTTGATTATATCACTGGCTTGCTGAAATTATATCACAGCTCCATTGTAATTATTTATCAGCCCCATCGTAAACATACCAGAGCTTTATTATAATTATACCACAGCTCCATTGTAACTATACCACAGCTCCATTGTAACTATACCACAGCTCCATTGTAACTATACCACAGCTCCATTGTAACTATACCACAGCTCCATTGTAACTATACCACAGCTCCATTGTAACTGTACCACAGCTCCATTGTAACTGTACCACAGCTCCATTGTAACTGTACCACAGCTCCATTGTAACTATACCACAGCTCCATTGTAACTATACCACAGCTCCATTGTAACTATACCACAGCTGCACTGTAATTATACCACAGCTGCACTGTAACTATACCACAGCTGCACTGTAATTATACCACAGCTCCATTGTAACTATACCACAGCTCCATTGTAACTATACCACAGCTCCATTGTAACTATACCACAGCTCCATTGTAACTATACCACAGCTCCACTGTAATTATACCACAGCTCCATTGTAATTATACCACATCTCTACTGTAATTATGCTACAGCTACACTGTAAATATACCACAGCTCCATTATAATTATACCACAGCTCCATTATAATTATATAACATCTCTATTGTAATTATACTACAGCTCCATTATAATTATATCACATCTCTACTGTAATTACACCACAGCTCCACTGTAATTATACCACAGCTCCATTATAATTATACCACAGCTCCATTATAATTATATCACATCTCTACTGTAATTATACTACAGCTCCATTATAATTATATCACATCTCTACTGTGATTACACCACAGCTCCATTATAATTATACCACAGCTCCATTATAATTATGCCACAGCTCCATTATAATTATATCACATCTCTATTGTAATTAAACTACAGCTCCATTATAATTATAATACATCTCTACTGTAATTACACCACAGCTGCATTATAATTATATTACAGCTCCATTATATTTATAAAACATCTCTTTGTAATTATACTACAGCTCCATTATAATTATATCACATCTCTACTGTAATTACACCACAGCTCTACTGTAATTATACTACAGCTCCATTATAATTATATCACATCTCTACTGTGATTACACCACAGCTCCATTATAATTATACCACAGCTCCATTATAATTATGCCACAGCTCCATTATAATTATATAACATCTCTATTGTAATTAAACTACAGCTCCATTATAATACATCTCTACTGTAATTACACCACAGCTGCATTATAATTATATTACAGCTCCATTATATTTATAAAACATCTCTTTGTAATTATACTACAGCTCCATTATAATTATATCACATCTCTTCTGTAATTATACTACAACTCCATTATAATTATATCTCATCTCTACTGTAATTACACCACAACTCCACTGTAATTATACCACAGCTCCATTATAATTATACCACAGCTCCATTATAATTATACCACAGCTCCATTATAATTATATCACATCTCTACTGTAATTATACTACAGCTTTATTATATCACATCTCTACTGTGATTACACCACATCTCTACTGTGATTACACCACAGCTCCATTATAATTATATCACATCTCTTTGTAATTATACTACAGCTCCATTATATTTATATCACATCTCTACGGTAATTATACCACAGCTCCCCTGTAATTATACCACAGCTTCATTATAATTATACCACAGCTCCATTATATTTATATCACATCTCTAATGTAATTATACTACAGCTCCATTATAATTATATCACATCTCTACTGTAATTACACCACAGCTCCACTGTAATTATACCACAGCTCCACTATAATTATACCACAGCTCCATTATAATTATATCACATCTCTAGTGTAATTATACTACAGCTCCATTATAATTATATCACATCTCTACTGTAATTACACCACAGCTCCATTATAATTATACCACGGCTCCATTATAATTATATCACATCTCTACTGTAATTATACTACAGCTTCATTATAATTATATCACATCTCTACTGTTATTACACCACAGCTCAACTGTAATTATACCACAGCTCCATTATAATTATACCACAGCTCCATTATAATGATATCACATCTCTACTGTAATTACACCACAGCTCTATTATAATTATACCACAGCTCCATTATAATTATTTCACAGCTCCAGGAGGTTTAAACTACTGGGGGATGGGTGTGTATGAGAAAACTGGGGGATGTGTGTGTAAAAAAAAACCTGGGGTGATGCGTGTATAAGAGAAAACTAAGAGGATGTCTGTGTGTAAGAGAAAACTGGGGTGATTTGTGTAAGAGAAGAATGGGGTGATGTGTGTAAGAGAAAACTGGGGAGATGTGTGTGTGTGAGAGAAAAGCTGGGAAGATGTGTGTGTGTGAGAGAAAACTGGGAGATGTGTGTGTGTGAGAGAAAACTGGGGAGATGTGTGTGTAAGAGAAAACTTGGAAGATGCATGTGTAAGGGATAATTGAGGAGATATAACAGTATGTGTGTAAGAGAAAAATGGGAGGATGTGTGTAAGAGAAAAGAGAAAACTGGGAATATGTGTGTATGTGTGTAAGAGGAAGGAGAAAAATTTGGAAATGTGTGTGAGAGAAAAAAGAAACCTAAGTGTGGGGGGGGGGGGGGGAGGTTGTGAAAGAGAAAACTGGGAGATAGCGAGTGTATGTGGTAAAAACTAGGAAGATATGTGGGGAGAAAACTGGAGAAACATATGTGTGTTTGGGAGGCTGGGGAAATGTTTGTCCTCTCTTATTGTATGACCACAATGTGTCTGCAGATGCCACCACAAGGTGAAGCGAGGCAGCTGGAACAAACGGCAAGTTGTTTGGCCCAGCAGGGCACAGCTGCGAGATGCCACCAGCGATGTCCACCAAGTCTGGCCCAGCAGGGCACAGCTGCGAGAGGCCACCAGCGATGACGAGCTGAATGAAGACAACCAGTTCTTTCTGTAGGCAATCCATGATGAATGTTTCACATCAGATTCACCACGAAACAAAAAGATAATAAACTTAATGAAATGATGGGCAAACGCCAGGGTTGACTTGGACATGCTGTTTCTGTTTATCTCTTTGTCTCTCTGTTTGCCTGTTTATTTGTCTGTTTGCTTACTTGTCGGTCTGTCTGTCTGCATTTTTGCTTGAGTTCACGATGATCACTGCCTGAACCTATGTTCTAATTCTGTTACCTACAATCATCAAACATGATTCCTATCCCTTGCAATTATCAGCTCTTTGCCCGGTATCCACAGCAATCATCAACTCTGTCTACAACAACCATCAACTCTGTTTCCTATCTACAACAACCATCAACTCTCTGTCTCCTATCTACAACAATCATCAGCTGTCTCCTATCTACAACAATCATCAGCTGTCTCCTATCTACAACAATCATCAGCTCTCTATCTCTGACTCCTCTTAGGCACGTAGAGATGGTACTGTGTGAGTTCACCACAATAGGTAGAGAGGTGTTCTCATCCCATCAACAAACATGATTTAATACACCGCAGAATAAACACTCTAGATCACAGAATAAACACTCCAGATCACAGAATAAACACTCCAGATCACAGAATAAACACTCTAGATCACAGAATAAACACTCCAGATCACAGAATAAACACTCTGGATCACAAAATAAACACTCCAGATCACAGAATAAACACTCTAGATCTCAGAAGGAACAAGGTTCCTTAAAGAGGTACTTAATTTATAACTTACCCCTGACGTCACGGGAAACATTCCCAATAAATTCTAGCGTGTTCAGGTTGTAGTTTCTCGCGATTTATCTACAGCTAAGTTTAGGGTTAGGGTTAGGGTTAGAAGACACTAGATGAACACTCAAAAAAAGCACCACACAACAGCACACTTGCACCCCTTGAAATAATGGACTGTCAGGTTAGCTGTGGATTTCCCACGGGAATTTCGTGTTTGGTGTACGTTATAAATTAAGAACCCTTAGCTGCATGGGAGTGGCAGGACCTTGTCATATGCTGATGGCGTCTTGGTATATCAACACGGAAGAGATCATCAAGAGATTGCCAATTCAGTGCAGAGTGAACTTGATCGCATCTCCTCCTGATGTGCCGATTCTAATGCTTATATCAAACCTTCTAATGCAGACTTACCAGCAGTGGAAATATGCTAGCGGGAAGAAAAAGTAGGAAAACGCAGAAGTGGGGGAGATAAAAGAAAATTGTGATTAGGACAAAATGTAATAGTTCCCCGCTAAACAGCAAAAACAGAAAAGTAAAGAAAAGACAAGGGTTCTTCTGCGCAGAGATCCTAGAATATTTCACTAAGACCCAGACAAAGAAGATCTGCATAGTGAGTTACATGACGACAACTTAACTACATGGTTACATACACCTAGACGCACCTTGTGCACAGGCAACAGATACTAAATTAAATCAAGCAAATGAATTATAAACATCACATTAAACAGCTGTTTTTTTTTACTGAATTGAACACAGAATCAACGTATACTTCACAGATAATATATTACCAATAACCAATGTGCTCGACCAGAATCTAAAGTGCTAATCATCTCCAGCTAACAAGGAAATATGATAATTACACCATATGCTCGGCGAGATTACCTCAACAATGGCATAAACCAAAATATAATTAACAGTACGTTAAGCTTCAATATGCCACCATACTAACAAATCACTTATAGTGAACTGCCATCAAACTATCTGCTAGTGAGGATGCACCATGGAAATCAAATCTAACATCACCTAAGCAAATGAAACGTACCGTGAAACCAGCCAGGCAACCTGCTTTCCTCTGCAGTCGCCCATTACCACACTGTCTAGCCCATTGTGCAGAGATGCAACAGCTGGGTCAGTGTACTGCAGGGTCGGCCCAGAAGCCAAATAGACCGCTAAAAGACTAAGCAAGGTCTTTTATTAACTGATGGCTGGCCAGGTTTCTTCGTGTTACTGTCTAAAACTAACAGCTGTTCCTGTGGCCTCTTGGGCCTGTCACAGAAACCAGCAAGGAAATTTTGTCTAGAACAAATCTGATGGCATACCTCGGAGTGAGGTTTGATCACAGCCTGTCCTTCAAAGAACATGTTGACCATGTTTTAACAAAAGCAAACATAGGCCAGTCAGCAATGAGGGCCCTGGCCGCCGCTAACACTGAGCAGAGACTGCTTCTGCTTCTGTTCCAAGGACTTGAACTTTCTCTTATCGAATATGCTCTATTCATCCTCACTGTCAGCCATACTCAAATTGAAAGACTTGAGAAGGTGAAAAACGAAGCTACCAGTGCCAACATGGACATTACAAACAGCACATTCATACCTACACCATGCTACCAGTGCCAAACTTGGACATTCCAAACAGCACATTCATACCTACACCGTGCTACCAGTGCCAAACTTGGACATTTAAAAAAAAGTGCATTTGTACCTACACCATGCTTCTAATGCCAAACTTGGACATTCCAAACAGCACATTTATACCTACACCGTGCTACCAGCGCCAGACCTGGACATTCCATGATGCTGTAGCAAATAGACGCTACGTTTCCAGCCTGAAGGTGTTAGGTTTCAATTCACATCAAAGTTAAATATTTGACAAATTACTCTAGTTCCAAAGTTGACCTAGATAAATATAAGTTCAAGATAAAATCCTAGGAAGTAAAGGTGGCTTATGATCTTGGGTACAAGACCAATCGAGGGCTGGCTGGTGTGATCTTGGGTACATGAACCATTGAGGGCTGGCTGGTGTGATCTTGGGTACATGAACCATTGAGGGCTGGCTGGTGTGATCTTGAGTACATGACTCATTGAGGGCTGGCTGGTGTGATCTTGGGTACATGAACCATTGAGGGCTGGCTAGTGTGATCTTGGGTACATGAACCATTGAGGGCTGGCTGGTGTGATCTTGAGTACATGACTCATTGAGGGCTGGCTGGTGTGATCTTGGGTACATGAACCATTGAGGGCTGGCTAGTGTGATCTTGGGTACATGAACCATTGAGGGCTGGCTGGTGTGATCTTGAGTACATGACCCATCGAGGGCTGGCTGGTGTGATCTTGAGTACATGAACCATTGAGGGCTGGCTGGTGTGATCTTGGGTACAAGACCCATCGAAGGCTGGCTGGTGTGATCTTGAGTACATGAACCATGGAGGGCTGGCTGGTGTGATCTTGGGTACAAGACCCATCGAGGGCTGGCTGGTGTGATCTTGAGTACTTGACCCATCGAGGGCTGGCTGGTGTGATCTTGGGTACATGACCCATCGAGGGCTGGCTAGTGTGATCTTGGGTACACAACCAATGGAGGGCTGGCTAGTGTGATCTTGAGTACTTGACCCATCGAGGGCTGGCTGGTGTGATCTTGAGTACTTGACCCATCGAGGGCTGGCTGGTGTGATCTTGGGTACATGACCCATCGAGGGCTGGCTAGTGTGATCTTGGGTACACGACCCATCGAGGGCTGGCTAGTGTGATCTTGAGTACTTGACCCATCGAGGGCTGGCTAGTGTGATCTTGGGTACATGAACCATTAAGGGCTAGCTGGTGTGATCTTGGGTACATGACCCATTGAGGGCTGGCTGGTGTGATCTTGAGTACATGACCCATCGAGGGCTGGCTGGTGTGATCTTGAGTACTTGACCCATCGAGGGCTGGCTGGTGTGATCTTGAGTACATGACCCATCGAGGGCTGGCTGGTGTGATCTTGGGTACATGAACCATTGAAGGCTGGCTGGTGTGATCTTGGGTACATGACCCATTGAGGGCTGGCTGGTGTGATCTTGAGTACATGACCCATTGAGGGCTGGCTGGTGTGATCTTGGGTACATGACTCATTAAGGGCTAGCTGGTGTGATCTTGAGTACATGACCCATCGAGGGCTGGCTGGTGTGATCTTGAGTACTTGACCCATTGAGGGCTGGCTAGTGTGATCTTTACATGAACCATTGAGGGCTGGCTAGTGTGATCTTGAGTACATGACCCATTGAGGGCTGGCTAGTGTGATCTTTACATGAACCATTGAGGGCTGGCTGGTGTGATCTTGAGTACATGACCCATTGAGGGCTGGCTAGTGTGATCTTGAGTACATGACCCATTGAGGGCTAGCTGGTGTGATCTTGGGTACATGACCCATTAAGGGCTAGCTGGTGTGATCTTGGGTACATGACCCATCGAGGGCTAGCTGGTGTGATCTTGGGTACATGACCCATCGAGGGCTGGCTAGTGTGATCTTGAGTACATGACCCATTGAGGGCTAGCTGGTGTGATCTTGGGTACATGACCCATTAAGGGCTAGCTGGTGTGATCTTGGGTACATGACCCATCGAGGGCTAGCTGGTGTGATCTTGGGTACATGACCCATCGAGGGCTAGCTGGTGTGATCTTGAGTACATGACCCATTGAGGGCTGGCTAGTGTGATCTTGGGTACATGACCCATTAAGGGCTAGCTGGTGTGATCTTGGGTACATGACCCATTGAAGGCTGGCTGGTGTGATCTTGGGTACATGAACCATTGAAGGCTGGCTGGTGTGATCTTGGGTACATGACCCATTGAGGGCTGGCTGGTGTGATCTTGAGTACACCCATTGAGGGCTGGCTGGTGTGATCTTGGGTACATGACTCATTAAGGCTGGCTGGTGTGATCTTGAGTACATGACCCATCTTGAGTACATGACCCATCGAGGCTGGCTGGTGTGATCTGATACTTGACCCATCGAGGGCTGGCTGTGTGACTTGAGTTGACCATTAAGGCTAGGCTGGTGTGATCTTGAGTACATGACCCATCGAGGGCTGGCTGGTGTTGATCTGGCTGGTGTGATCTTGAGTACATGACCCATTGAGGGCTGGCTAGTGTGATCTTTACATGACCCATTGAGGGCTGGCTGGTGTGATCTTGAGTACATGACCCATTGAGGGCTGGCTAGTGTGATCTTGGGTACATGACCCATTGAGGGCTGGCTAGTGTGATCTTGGGTACATGACCCATTGAGGGCTGGCTGGTGTGATCTTGGGTACATGACCCATTGAGGGCTGGCTAGTGTGATCTTGGGTACATGACCCATTGAGGGGCTGGCTCTTGGTGTGATCTTGTGATCTTGGGTACATGACCCATACATGACCCATTGAGGGCTGGCTAGTGTGATCTTGGGTACATGACCCATTGAGGCTGGCTAGTGTGATCTTGGTACATGTGATCTTGGGTACATGACCCATTGAGGGCTGGCTTGGTGTGATCTTGGGTACATGACCCATTGAGGGCTAGCTGGTGTGTGATCTTGGGTACATGACCCATCGAGGGCTGGCTGGTGTGATCTTGGTGTACTTGGGTACATGACCCATTGAGGGCTGGCTGGTGTGATCTTGGGTACATGACCCATCGAGGGCTGGCTGGTGTGATCTTGGGTACATGACCCATTGAGGGCTGGCTAGTGTGATCTTGAGTACATGACCCATCGAGGGCTGGCTGGTGTGATCTTGGGTACATGACCCATTGAGGGCTGGCTGGTGTGATCTTGGGTACATGACCCATTGAGGGCTGGCTGGTGTGATCTTGGGTACATGACCCATTGAGGGCTGGCTAGTGTGATCTTGAGTACATGACCCATTGAGGGCTGGCTGGTGTGTGATCTTGGGTACATGAACCATCGAGGGCTGGCTTGTGATCTTGGGACCCATTGAGCTGGCTAGTGTGATCTTGGGTACATGACCCATTGAGGGCTGGCTGGTGTGATCTTGAGTATCTTGAGTACATGACCCATTGAGGGCTGGCTGGTGTGATCTTGAGTACATGACCCATTGAGGGCTGGCTGGTGTGATCTTGAGTACATGACCCATTGAGGGCTGGCTGGTGTGATCTTGTGTACATGACCCATTGAGGGCTGGCTGGTGTGATCTTGGGTACATGACCCATTGAGGGCTGGCTGGTGTGATCTTGTGTACATGAACCATTGAGGGCTGGCTAGTGTGATCTTGGACCCATTGAGTGATGACCCATTGAGGGCTGGCTGGTGTGATCTTGGGTACATGACCCATTGAGGGCTGGCTGGTGTGATCTTGGGTACATGACCCATTGAGGGCTGGCTGGTGTGATCTTGGGTACATGACCCATTGAGGGCTGGCTGGTGTGATCTTGGGTACATGACCCATTGAGGGCTGGCTGGTGTGATCTTGGGTACATGACCCATTGAGGGCTGGCTGGTGTGATCTTGGGTACATGACCCATTGAGGTGATCTTGCTGGCTGGCTGTGTGATCTTGGGTACATGACCCATTGAGGGCTGGCTAGTGTGATCTTGGTACATGAACCCATTGAGGGCTGGCTGGTGTGATCTTGAGTACATGACCCATTGAGGGCTGGCTGGTGTGATCTTGGGTACATGACCCATTGAGGGCTGGCTGGTGTGATCTTGGGTACATGACCCATTGAGGGCTGGCTGTGTGATCTTGGCTGTACATGAATGACCATTGAGGGCTGGCTGGTGTGATCTTGGGTACATGACCCATTGAGGGCTGGCTGGTGTGATCTTGGGTACATGACCCATTGAGGGCTGGCTGGTGTGATCTTGTGTACATGACCCATTGAGGGCTGGCTGGTGTGATCTTGAGTACATGACCCATTGAGGGCTGGCTGGTGTGATCTTGGGTACATGAACCATTGAGGGCTGGCTGGTGTGATCTTGGGTACATGACCCATTGAGGGCTGGCTGGTGTGATCTTGTGTACATGACCCATTTAGGTCTGGCTGGTGTGATCTTGAGTACATGAACCATTGAGGTCTGGCTGGTGTGATCTTGTGTACATGAACCATTGAGGGCTGGCTGGTGTGATCTTGAGAACATGAACCATTGAGGGATGGCTGGTGTGATCTTGGGTACATGACCCATTGAGGTATTGCTAGTGTGTAAAAATATTATTCTAGCACCTCATCTCTGATGCAGCACTTGTGTATAAAGGGTCTATTACAGTTACTTGTTACTGTCAAACTGTTGCCATTATCTGGAGCTAAACTTTGAAGAATAACTGCAAAAACAACTCATAAACTGGTGATGTTAATTGGAGCTAAAGCTTGGAGATCAACTCAAATAACCACTAACAAACTAGAAACATCCATGAAGTGGTGACTGCACATTAGATAGGCAATTAAATGGTTATGATAGAATCACTAATGTAGAGCTTTGTGAATGAACTAAACAATTAGTTTATTAACAGGTGAGTAAAAGACACTGGTACTGAATATATTACTCACTGAGAAAACCTGATAACAGTGCTACTAGAATATTTATTGGAAACCATAGAATCAAAAGCATAAAGGCAGCCCTCCCCCTCCCCCCCCCCCCCCAAACATAGACAGAGAGTAAAGTGAAGAAACTAGGGAAGACTTAGTGTGGGGGTGAGATGGGGGATAGAAAGAAACTGAAAGTGCAGCTTGCTGTGTATTGCTGGAGGGTCTAGGCATCACTTAGTGTTACAGAACAGAAGAAGGAGAAGGACAAGATAATTATACAAACATTTATGCACATCCAACTTGCTAGTACTCTTGTCATGTGTGATAGCGTTAATCATCCTAGCATAAAATGTTTTCATACAATCTGTACATAAACTAGATTTTTATTTAGATTTGGCTCGGCCCACAAACGCATCCATAGTGTCGTTGACTCCAAAAAAGTTGCTCAAGGTGTCATAAACTGTGACTGGGATCATTCTGAAAGCAAATGTTTGCCATATGTCAACACATGCACACACACACACACACACAATATGTTATTGGTAAATATAGGGCAACATGTCTGTGGTAAAGATGGGACAACATGTTGCTGTGACAATTCTGGTCAAGGCTAGACGTTTGTGTTTGTTAAGCAGGGAAGATTGTCCATGTCAAGCTGTTGCCATAGGATTGTTCATGTACATTTGTGTATAGGTAATGACTTCTTATGTGTACTTTGTGCTGTCAGTTGTTGAAATGTGGTCCCTAGATGATTACCTCAGTGTGCACCGACACTGACTCAGAGAGACAGTGGTGTGAACAAATAAACAATGACATCATCTAGGTGAGTCAGTATGCATTTGAGAAGTCTGCAAGTTACTAGAGGCAAAAGGTTGTTTGTAAACAGGGTCATTGCAGTTAATAAGATTTTATTTGTTGCACTGCATGTTTGATATGCATACAAGTGTGAGCTTATAGATCATTTCAATGCATTTCCCAGATGATATAGCAGCCATGGTTTACTGTGGTGTATAAAACAGTGCTAACAGAAAAAAACTACGTCAAAACATGGTGTGTTGGAATTATGAAACTGCTACATCAGACTTGGTGTGCTGGAATTATTAAAATATGACATCAAAAATGGTGTATTGAAATTATAAAACTGTGCTCATAACCCATAAGCCAGATAAACTTACTACTGCCTAGTGTATTGGAATTATTAAACTACTACATCATGCCGAGTGAGCTGGAATTATGAAATTTTGCTCACAACGCCTAAGTCGCATATACCAACTACTACCAGTAGTCAGATTTTTTTTATAACTGATCTTGGCTGCCAGGTTGACACAGTTCAAAATGGCTACCAGGGATTGTCCTGGGAAGTAAAGACTGCAATCGTGATGTTGGCATCCCCATCGAGTGCCGGTCTATCAAAGAGTCAGGCATCATATGCCAGACTGGCAGAAAAATGGTCGACAACTGCTGTACCTACCCTTTAAGAATGAGGAACAGGTAGAGAATCCTGGGCAGCATCATATGCCAGACTGGCAGAAAAATGGTGGTTAACTGCTGTACCTACCCTTTAAGAATGAGGAACAGGTAGAGAATCCTGGGCATCAGTAGCATAGCTTGGTTGGTCTGGATGCCATTCATAATTCTGTCGACCACTTCTTCTGGCTCCAAAATTGGCAAGAGGAGGGGAAATCTGTGGACAGTTGAGAAAGTGTTCAGTCTCACAGCAAAGGACATTCTTTGGTCAACAGCAGGGTCACCATACAAAAGTATACTAGATAAACAAATCTATAGATATATTCATCATTCATTCAACAGGTGCCTTGCCTACTGGCATAGGCGATCATGCCTTTCCAACATCTGCGATCTCCTGCAGCATGTAAAAGTTTGTGTGCTGACACCTCCATGCCATGCAACAAGACTGTCAAGAATCTTCTCTCATTGTCTTTCTCTATCCCTGCTTCCACAGATCTTTCAAGTGGTCACAACAAGTTTTATTTTCCCTCTTTTCAAAACATGGCTGAAAAATTATGACTGTCTCCTTTTGATGTATGTGATAAGTTGTCTTTAGGCTTCTGCCTCTTTCAAAACCTCTTGGTTACTCTTTTTGGCTGTCCAAGGTATTTTAAGCATATCTATAACACTCACAAAAAAATAGTACACTACTTGATAAATAATCTATAGATATAACACATGCAAAAAGACAGTATTGATTTGCATCTTTTCAAATAATAGTGTTGCATATGAGGAATAGGGACTCCCAGCTTATGAAGATGGTAAATGCGATTAGCAAGATCCGCCTGCGTCAAGAAAGTCTTCCAGTTATAGCATGGGATTTCAGGACCATTGTTATCAAAATTTGTGTTCAGTCTGTTTTTTCTCTCAGACGCTTAGCTCTCATCCCTTCTACAGTCATTTCTGCCTTCATTCTCATTCTGTGTGTCTGTATGTGTCTGGGTTGTATGCGTGTGTGTTTTAGAGCGTGTGTATGTATGTATGTATGTATGTATGTATGTATGTATGTATGTATGTATGTATGTATGTATGTATGTATGTATGTATGTATGTATGTATGTATGTATGTATGTATGTATGTATGTATGTATGTATGTATGTATGTATGTATGTGAGTTTGTATGTATATATGTTTTTATGTATGTATGTATGTATGTATGTATGTATGTATGTATGTATGTATGTATGTGAGTTTGTATGTATGTGTGTGTGTGTGTATGTATTATGTGAGTTTGTATGTATGTATGTATGTATGTATGTATGTATGTATGTATGTATGTATGTATGTATGTATGTATGTATGTATGTATGTATGTATGTATGTATGTATGTATGTATGTATGTATGTATGTATGTATGCATGTATGTATGTGAGTTTGTATGTATGTGTGTGTGTGTGTATGTATTATGTGAGTTCTCCGTTGTATGTATGTATGTATGTATGTATGTATGTATGTATGTATGTATGTATGTATGTATGTATGTATGTAGGCGATCATGCCTTTCCAACATCTGCGATGTATGTATGTATGTATGTATGTATGTCTGTATGTATGTATGTATGCATGTATGTGTGCATGTATGTGTGTATGTAGATGCATGTGTGTACTGGGTGCCTATGTGTTTGTTTGTAAGCGAGTGATTTGGCTTGTGTGTGTATGTGGGTGTGTGTGTTCGCGGGTGAGTGTGCGCACATATTTTACCACCCATGCTTTTGTTTTTGACTTTATATGTATAATATGCAAATTATTACATAAATATAACATGCTTCATTGATGAAATACAACTGCTGTGCAAAAGATGGAAGTTTGGAAGGGCCGAATGTAAGACAGGCCTGCGTGCCTAATTTGTAACCCTTTTAAAATAAAGTTCGTTCGTTCGTTCGTTCCCTTCCTGATGTGCCCCCTCTAAACAACACAGTCCATGACATTTTGTTCCCCCTTAGTCCACCTCAATACCTGTATCATTCATGTCCAACTTGCAAATGTCTTTATATCGCAGTAGAGGGTGGCCTCAATATTTTCTACATCTTCCACCTGTCTTTGCTTCACACCAAGCCCCCTGAGCTTCGTAGACTTGAGCATTGAAAAGACTGTTGTAATACCTGCTCTTGGAAATACCCCAGTGTTTGTGATCTTGTCCTACCAATTAATGCCAAGTATTCTTCTTAGGCATCGCATGTGAAAGCTATTTAGCCGTCTCTCTTGGTGTGAATATGTTGACAAAGTTTCACTGCCATAAAGCAGAGTGATGAGAACAAAAGCCTGATAGACAAGAGTTTTTGTTTTAATCATGTGCATTTTATTCCCCCACACTCTTTTTGTTAATCTGCTCATTGTTGTTGCTGCCTTAACCATCATGATGTTGATTGTTTGGTCCAGCGATTTTTGCTATTTACTGTGGTACCCAGATAGGTAAAATTGACAACTGTCTCCAGCTCATCACCGTCAATGTAGACTGTAGGTCTATCATTAACACCTTGCACCATAAGCTTTGTTTTCTTGTTGCTGATGGTTAGTCCAAATTCACAGCATTCATCAGCAAATGCTGATAATAAACATTGCAACTCCTCCTCTGAGTGGGTGGTAATTGCTGCATCATCTGCAAACAGCAGCTCTCTGATAAGTACCTTTCTTATCCTGGTTTTGGCCTTCAGCCTATGAGCATTGTAAAGGCTGCCGTCAGATCAAGAATGGATGAATATGTCACCCTCCTGATCTCGAAAGGCATATTCCAAAAGAATTGAGATTCCAAAGAGGGTAGGAGCAAGTTCACATCCCTGCTTCACTCCTCTAGTCTTACACCATCAGAGAAATAGATTTCAAAGAAGAGGAAGAAAAAAGAAAGAACAATTTGAGTTATAAATGGTCGATGACACTGGATACACTTGATCTATTGAGGATCAATGACTATAATGACCATTAAATGATGGTAGATGACTCAAGCTTCAATGACTTCACCAAAAATAGATTTGTTTCTAATGTGTTTTCTATTCATCCCGTATGATGATTTCAGCTGTGTACTCTTAATGATAATGATCACTTTGTGTTTAATCAAATAAATGTCCTCTGCCCCTGACCTTCTTCTTCTTCTTGTGTTCGCTTTCTGATTTACACCGACAGACAGGTTCTTGTGATAAACTTGACTGTTTTTATGAGTTCATTTTTAGTCCCATACAACTTAGTGTACAGTGATGACTCACTGGGCCAGTGTTCCTTTCTTAATGGGCCGAACAAGGGACAGTCTTGCAGGACATGTTCTGTAGTCTGCACACATAGCCCACAAGGGCACAAAGGTGAACTACTTAGACGAAGCCTGTGCATATGCTGGTTAAGTTTGTTATGTCCTGTCCTGAGACGTAGGACAATGACCTGCCCATGCCGGTCAAGTAAGTGGTAGTCATCTTTGGCCAGACTCTGTTCACTTCTAATAGCCTAGATGGCCCTTTTCTTCTCATAGTATGTTACTTCATTCTCTTCCTGATCACATTCTGCCCCTTTTTTAGCAAGTTTATCTGCGGTTTCGTTTCCTGGTATACCACAGTGGGATGGCACCCACTGGAGTACAGTACACTTTTGGGCAGCCACCTTGCCAAGTTCAGATCTCAAGTGAGGGAGTTTGCCACTCTTGAGGGCTTGAAGCACTGAAAGCGCATCTGTGAATATAACCACTTGGTGGCAGTCAGAAACTGGTGTTGTGTAACATTTCGGCAGCCTGCTCTAGTGCTACAATCTCTGCTGTGTAGTTGGAACAGAATTTACCAGTGGGTATCCACTTTGTGTGGCGGTGGTTGCCTGGGTATGTAATAAAGACTCCAGCACCCCCATTTTTAACCGCACTGGTTGCTGATCCATCTGTGTAAACATGTATCCATGACTGTTCGGGATAGTTTTCATGAATCATGCTAAGAGCAGCTGTTCGTTTTTTGAAGATCATTGGACTCATCTCCAGTTGTGAATCCACTGACTGAAGTCATTATCTGTATTGTGTCACTGACTTGCTCCCAAGGTACAGGGTATAGGGTAGGTTTCAGCGGTGTTGTTCTAATAGGTAGATCAGCTTGATACTGTCTTCTAAGTCTTTTCCCCCCGATGGACAAAGCTGCTACGCTTGAGACGCCCTAATGCCAGATCATCTAACCTTTTATTCATTGGGTGTGACTGCATACTATTAAACTTCTCCATCTGGATCATAGTTTTAGTGTCTCTTCTATAGGACAGTGTCTGCATTGCAGTTATTTTCTGCATCTTCAGGATTGGTGCAGTTTTCATGGATCCTGTGATGAGTCTAAGAGCTTGATTTTGCACTCTGTCTAACGATTGTAGATGGGAATTAGCAGCTGTTGACCATGCTGTTGCACCAAACTCCAAGTGGGGTCTTATCGCTCCATTATAAACTTTCTTTAGGGTTTTTCCATTTCGCTCCCCATCCTGTACCTGCCAGTTTTCTAAGTAGGCCTAGTCGTCTCCTGGCCTTCCCTTCTACATTTTCTATATGTTTGCTCCATGTGAGCCTTTTATCAAATGTTACTCCAGATAAGTGGGGAAGCTTTCTTCCTTTACCAAGGATGTTCCTATGTGAATACTAGCAGCTTTGTCCCTGGGGGAAAGAGAGAAAAGCGTTGTGGATGTTTTGTCTGTGTGATGGCAACATGCCATTTTTCTGCCCATGTCATCAAGAGATCTGCTGCTCGCTGCATTCTTATATTTGCCACTGTGGTGTGTTCATCGGTACAACCAAAGTGCCAGATCATCTGCATACAGGGCAGCTTTTACTCCCGTAGGGAGGTCTTTCACCAGATCATTTATATACACAAGAAAGAGAGTTGGAGAGATAACTCCTCCCTGTGGTACTCCTTGCCGAAGTAACACTTTTCGACTCTGCTGGCCATCAAGACTGACTCTAGTTCTCCTGCTGTGTAAGAAGGATTGGATCCATTTTAGCATGTTTCCTTGGATTCCATTTCTCTTCAGTTTTGCAATGAGACCATCTTTCCAGACTTTGTCAAAAGCTTGTTTAAAGTCAACCCATACCGCCAGGACCTTTTTCTTCTCTTGGAAGGCATCTCTACAGCTTGTGACCAGGTAGGTGACTTGGTCTTCTATGCTGTGACATTCCCTAAACCCAGCCCTGCTCTGGCACCAAGATCTGCTCAGATTCTAAGTGCCTTTTCAGTCTTGAATTTACAATTCTTTCCAATGTCTTTCCTACACAGCTCGTGAGACTAATTGGGCGATAGCTCGAAGCCTGTGTCTTAATTTTTCCTTTTTTTAAAATGGGTATTGTGATGGCTTCTCTCCCTACTGGAGGCACCATCCTTTCTCCCAGCTGGGGTTGAAAATTTCCAGCAGCTTTACTTTAGCAGATGAGGTCAGGTTTGATTAGCATTTCGTTGCTGATTTCATCTGGACCTGCAGACTTTTTAACTTAAGCCTAAAGATGGCATATTTGTAGTTCGCCCATGGTAAATGGCTCCCTCATAGAGGCAGGAATATCTGTCTGTCTCTTATTTGTTTGTATTTCTTTCCTTATTTCTCTCTGATGGTCCCCATTAAGGGTCAGGTTGCTTTCAACACTATATGTTCTGGCAAACAAATCTGCAGCTTGTTTTCCTCTAAGGATTTTGTCACCATCACTTAGCGTGATTGTTTGTCTAGGAGAGAAACTCTCTTCATTGAGTGATTTGGCTAATCTCCAGAGTTTCTTGCCATCTTTATCAAGGTTTAGAGCTGCTGTTTTATTTCTCCAGCTTTTCCATTTTTCTTCAAGTTTAGTTCTCTGGAACACTGCTGCCCCTGACCAATTCCCTAGAGCCACAAGATTTGATTAAACACATAACAAATGTAAAAATACATTTTATGCTCTAAGATCAAGTAATGAACCACATAGTGACATGAACATGGCAGGCATTATCGATGTTGTATGCAGGACATCACATAATATAGGTGATGTCATCAAAACTGTAGGTGGGAAATCACTTGAACATGGCTGATTTCATAAAGCTGGAGGGGGGAAATCACATGAACATGGCTGATGTCACAATGCTGGAGGGGGGAAATCACATGAACATGGCTGATGTCACAATGCTGGAGGGGGGAAATCACATGAACATGGCTGATGTCACAATGCTGTAGGTGGGAAATCACATGAATATGGCTGATGTCACAATGCTGTAGGTGGGAAATCACATGAACATGGCTGATGTCACAATGCTGTAGGTGGGAAATCACATGAACATGGCTGATGTCACAATGCTGAAGGTGGAAAATAATGTGAACATGGCTGATTTCATAATGCTGGAAGTGGGAAATCACAAGGAAATGGCTTTCATAATGCCGCAGGTGGGAAATCACATGGATATGGCTAATGTCATCAACACTGTAGGTGGGAAATCACATAAATATGGGTGATTTCATCAATACTGTAGCTAAGAAATCACATGGACATGGCTGATGTCATCATTGCTGCAAGGTCAAGGCTGGTAGATGATCATGTGTCTATGGCATTGGCATGGTTATGGGAATAAAGCCTGCTGAATCCTGACTATACTAGTCTGAGGTCAAGATAGAAGACAGTGTCACTCACTTCACCTGGCAACACTCCGTAGAGGTACCCAGTACGGGTTGCTTCTTCTTCTTTTTCGTTCACCGGCTGAATTCCAGCGGAAGGTCGAGGTTAATCGTCCGCTTGAACTTTTGGCTTTTACCTGGATCTGAGTTTTGCGTATACTTCACGGGCAGATGTACTCTGACTTCGAGGGAAGACGTCGGTCCTATTTCTAGGATGAATGTGGCCATTGTTTTGTGAGGGTCGAGATGTTACCTTATTTGTGTGGTGTCCTCTTTGTCCCTTTCTATACAGGTGTTGCCCCGGGAGTACCCCCTTCGGGACAGCCCTGTGTGGAACAGTTGGCCCTCAAGGGAAGGCAGGGGCAGATCACGGGCATTCCCCGCCATCCAAGGAGGCTTCCATAAAGCAGAGCCGATACATAATGCTCTGGTTCTAGGCTCACCCAAGAAATCGTCACATCCTGCACATAACTGCTTAACCTTACAACCGTATATTGAGCTTTCCGCTCAACACAGGCTGCGCCCTCCGGGGATCAGCCCGTGGGTTCTGGACTTTGTGAACGCACAAATAGGTACATTCTTCTTCGTTGCACGTTAGACACCTTTAACGTTGTTTCAACTGTGCCCTTAAGCATGACAGTATGGGGAAGCACGCGTCAGGCGTGGCTTCAACTGTTTGGTCCCAGCACTCGGGCGAGTGGGGCCAATGTATACGGACATTTGGACTTTTTTCTAATCGGAACGAATTGTGATGGTCGGGCTTTGAGCTTGCTTGTGTGCCGTAGGATCTGACTTTGTTGGACATTATTGACTAGCCAGCAGATAAAAAGTTTCTGTCGCTGCGTACCTCAGCGCTGTGACGACGACACTGAGGATTGACAGAGGGTGTACGTAGGTACGATCTGACTGCGAGAAAACACCCACAAGAGATGTTACTCGTCTTGGATGCGGGTAAATCTCTTGGTCAAGGGTTGAGTCTCAGCAGCACAGTTTTACGTTCGCTCCAGACTTTTAACCGAGAGTTGTCATTTGGTAGTACATTTGCCAAGCAGACTTTACTCATGTACCGATTGAATTTTGATAGACTTTTCACCTATGCGTTTGGGGGCAGGCTGGTGAGGGCCAGAAAGGACACTATACCTCTGGGAGCCGCCAGCTCCGAGATCCCCTGCCAACTCTGTTAATGATCATTTGAGACATTATCCGTGGCGCACGACGGTGACGTGCAGCAGGAATCTTGCATGAGGTTCCATAAAACCAGAACAGTGAAAGACTGGCACCCGAGTGAGGTACGGAGTATCTCCTTATACACATCACATCAGACTTAACTTTCCCTCATGCCTGTGACCTAAATCACAGCGCCACTACAGGCTGCTGAATTCTGACTATACTAGTCCGAGGTCAAGATAGAAAACAGTGTCACTAACTTCGCCTGGCAACACTCAGTAGAGATACCCAGTACAGGCTGCTGCAGTAAAGGATTCTGCATGCATGGGAAAATGCCTTTGACTGTGCTACTATAACATAAATGTGGACAAGACAACACTGAGAGACTGAACTCTGTTACTATGTGACTCAGAGGTTACCTTGTATGCACACCTGCAAACATTCCTGTGTTGATATAATATGGACAAACCAGAGTCGTGTGGATGCCTGTCTTGCCCTGTTTGCCAAGTTCATTTCTGTCCAAATATAAACACCATTTTGAATATCGGATTAACAGAATAATCAAAATGACAAGCAATGATTTAATTCAGCAGCAAATAATTAAAAAAGAATGATGTTAAAAATGAAACAAAAAACAGCAACAAAAACAAAACACAGATACCAGCTATAATTACAACAATAAACATGACAGTTAAAACAATAAAGCTGACAGTTACAACAATAAAGCTGACAGTTAAAAAAATAAACATGACAGCTACAAGAATAAATGTGACAGTTACAAAAATAAAGCTGACCATTACAAAAATGAAGCTGACAGTTACAAAAATGAAGCTGACAGTTACAAAAATGAAGCTGACAGTTACAAAAATGAAGCTGACACTTACAAAAATGAAGCTGACACTTACAAAAAAAAACATGACAGCTACAAGAACAAATGTGACAGTTACAAAAATGAAGCTGACCATTACAAAAATGAAGCTGACAGTTACAAAAATGAAGCTGACAGTTACAAAAATGAAGCTGACATTTACAAAAATGAAGCTTACAGTTACAAAAATGAAGCTGACGGTTACAATAAACCTGACAGTAGCAACAAAAAAACTGACAGTTACACCAATAAACCAGAGAGTTGCAGCAATGACCATGAACATGGCAACAATAAAAGTGGTGTGACAACATACATCATTATTTTAAAGTAGTATACTTCTATTCTTTACTAAATTACTGTAGTATATTTCTGTATATCACTCAATTATTTTAGGCAATTTATATACATCACTAAATTATTGTAGTATATTTAATTACATCACTGATTACTTCCTGTCATATTTACATACACACAACTGAATAGGATTCCTGCCATATTTACATACACAGCTGATGACTTCCTGTCAAATAAGCATACACAGCTAATGCTTTCTTGTCATATTTACATACACGGATGATGGCTTCCAGTCATATTAACACACACAGCTGAAGACTTCCGATCATATTGACATAAACAGCTGATGACTTCCTATCATTTTTTACATACATGGCTGATAGCTTTTTGTCATATTTACTTAAACAGCTGATGACTTCCTGTCATATTTACATTCACAGCTGATGACATCCTGTCATATTTACATAATATTTATTCCTGTCATATTTACATACCACAGCTAATGAACTTCCTGTCATATTTACATATACAGCTGATGACCTTCCTTTTGTCATATTTACATTTCTGGCCATATTTTCAGCTACTGATGGCTTCCTGTCATATTTACATTCACAGCTGATGGTGTGTGTGTGTGTGGGTGTTCCTGGTACTGCTGTGTCGTGTCATATTTACATTCACAGCTGATGGCTTTCTGTCATATTTTCACACACAGCTGATGGCTTCCTGTCATATTTTCATACACAGCTGATGGCTTTCTGTCATATTTACATTCACAGCTGATGACTTCCTGTCATATTTACATTCACAGCTGATGACTTCCTGCCATATTAACATTCACAGCTGATGGTTTCCTGTCATATTTACATTCACAGCTGATGACTTCCTGTCATATTTACATTCACAGCTGATGACTTCCTGTCATATTTACATTCACAGCTGATGGCTTCCTGTCATATTTACATTCACAGCTGATGGTTTCCTGTCATATTTACATTCACAGCTGATGACTTCCTGTCATATTTACATTCACAGCTGATGACTTCCTGTCATATTTACATACACAGCTGAAGACTTCCTGTCATATTTACATACACAGCTGATGACTTCCTGTCATATTAGCATACACGGCTGATGGCTTCCAGTCATATTAACATACACAGCTGAAGACTTCCGATCATATTGACATAAACAGCTGATGACTTCCTGTCATTTTTTACATAAATGGCTGATAGCTTTTTGTCATATTTACATTCACAGCTGATGACTTCCTGTCATATTTACATTCACAGCTAATGCTTTCTTGTCATATTTACATAATGGATAATGGCTTCCTGTCATATTTACATACACAGCTAATAACTTTCTGTCATATTTACATATACAGCTAATGCTTTCTTTTTGTCATAATTACATACACAGCTGATAGCTTTCTGCCATATTTTCATACACTACTGATGGCTTCCTGTCATATTTACATTCACAGCTGATGGTGTGTGTGTGTGGGTGTTCCTGGTACTGCTGTGTCGTGTCATATTTACATTCACAGCTGATGGTGTGTGTGGGTGTTCCTGGTACTGCTGTGTCGTGTCATATTTACATTCACAGCTGATGGCTTTCTGTCATATTTTCATACACAGCTGATGGCTTCCTGTCATATTTTCATACACAGCTGATAGCTTTCTGTCATATTTACATTCACAGCTGATGACTTCCTGCCATATTTACATTCACAGCTGATGGTTTCCAGTCATATTTACATTTACAGCTGATGACTTCCTGTCATATTTACATTCACAGCTGATGACTTCCTGTCATATTTACATTCACAGCTGATGACTTCCTGTCATATTTACATTCACAGCTGATGGTTTCCTGTCATATTTACATTCACAGCTGATGACTTCCTGTCATATTTACATTCACAGCTGATGACTTCCTGTCATATTTACATTCACAGCTGATGACTTCCTGTCATATTTACATTCACAGCTGATGGCTTCCTGTCATATTTACATTCACAGCTGATGGCTTCCTGTCATATTTACATTCACAGCTGATGGCTTCCTGCCATATTTACATTCACAGCTGATGGCTTCCTGCCATATTTACATAAACAGCTGATAGCTTCCTGTCATATTTACATACACTGCTGATAGCTTCCTGCCATATTTACATACATTGCTAAGCCACTGTGACATAGTTTCATACATATGTCAATATATTCACATACATTACCGAACCATTCTGACAAATTTACATACATTACTAAACAAACAGACATATTTACCTATAATTCAAGATTTACCTTAGCGTTTCATCGAATCCAACTGCTGCAAATTTGCTGGCACAGTAGTCACACAGCCCTGACAAACCAAACAAGCCGGCCCCACTAGCAACTGTCACAATATGACCATGGTTGCGAGATATCATAGCCGGAAGGAAAGCTTTCGTCGTCTGGTGGAGAAATATATAAGCAGAAGTAGAGATGAAAATATGATTTGTTTCAACTCACCAAGGGCCATGCACAGACTGTTCAGTAAACAAAGAGAAATTACAGGCAGTTGTAATGTGTATCAGTTGATACCCATACCTCACGTCAGGTGCCAGCATGATGTGCATAAGAAGATACACTGTACTTCACCTTAAGCACTAGCAGGTTCTGTGATGTGCATAAGAAGATACACTGTACTTCACCTTAAGCACTAGCAGGTTCTGTGATGTGCATAAGAAGATACACTGTACTTCACCTCAAGCACTAGCAGGCTCTGTGATGTGCATAAGAAGATACACTGTACTTCACCTTAAGCGCCAGCAGGCCCTGTGATGTGCATAAGAAGATACACCGTACTTCACCTCAAGCACTAGCAGGCTCTGTGATGTGCATAAGAAGATACACTGTACTTCACCTCAAGCACTAGCAGGCTCTGTGATGTGCATAAGAAGATATACTGTACTTCACCTCAAGTGCCAGCAGGCTCTGTGATGTGCATAAGAAGATACACTGTACTTCACCTTAAGCACTAGCAGGTTGTGTGATGTGCATAAGAAGATACACTGTACTTCACCTCAAGCGCCAGCAGGCCCTGTGATGTGCATAAGAAGATACACCGTACTTCACCTCAAGCACTAGCAGGCTCTGTGATGTGCATAAGAAGATACACCGTACTTCACCACAAGCACTAGCAGGCTCTGTGATGTGCATAAGAAGATACACCGTACTTCACCTCAAGCACTAGCAGGCTCTGTGATGTGCATAAGAAGATACACCGTACTTCACCTCAAGCACTAGCAGGCTCTGTGATGTGCATAAGAAGATACACCGTACTTCACCTCAAGCACTAGCAGGCCCTGTGATGTGCAAAAGAAGATACACTGTACTTCACCTCAAGTGCCAGCAGGCTCTGTGATGTGCATAAGAAGATACACCGTACTTCACCTCAAGGGCCAGCAGGCTCTGTGATGTGCATAAGAAGATACACTGTACTTCACCTCAAGCACTAGCAGGCTCTGTGATGTGCATAAGAAGATACACCGTACTCCACCTCAAGCACTAGCAGGCTCTGTAATGTGCATAAGAAGATACACTGTACTTCACCTCAAGTGCCAGCAGGCTCTGTGATGTGCATAAGAAGATACACCGTACTTCACCTCAAGCACTAGCAGGCCCTGTGATGTGCAAAAGAAGATACACTGTACTTCACCTCAAGTGCCAGCAGGCCCTGTGATGTGCATAAGAAGATACACCGTACTTCACCTCAAGCACTAGCAGGCTCTGTGATGTGCATAAGAAGATACACTGTACTTCACCTCAAGCACTAGCAGGCTCTGTGATGTGCATAAGAAGATATACTGTACTTCACCTCAAGTGCCAGCAGGCTCTGTGATGTGCATAAGAAGATACACTGTACTTCACCTTAAGCACTAGCAGGTTGTGTGATGTGCATAAGAAGATACACTGTACTTCACCTCAAGCGCCAGCAGGCCCTGTGATGTGCATAAGAAGATACACCGTACTTCACCTCAAGCACTAGCAGGCTCTGTGATGTGCATAAGAAGATACACCGTACTTCACCACAAGCACTAGCAGGCTCTGTGATGTGCATAAGAAGATACACCGTACTTCACCTCAAGCACTAGCAGGCTCTGTGATGTGCATAAGAAGATACACCGTACTTCACCTCAAGCACTAGCAGGCTCTGTGATGTGCATAAGAAGATACACCGTACTTCACCTCAAGCACTAGCAGGCCCTGTGATGTGCAAAAGAAGATACACTGTACTTCACCTCAAGTGCCAGCAGGCTCTGTGATGTGCATAAGAAGATACACCGTACTTCACCTCAAGGGCCAGCAGGCTCTGTGATGTGCATAAGAAGATACACTGTACTTCACCTCAAGCACTAGCAGGCTCTGTGATGTGCATAAGAAGATACACCGTACTCCACCTCAAGCACTAGCAGGCTCTGTAATGTGCATAAGAAGATACACTGTACTTCACCTCAAGTGCCAGCAGGCTCTGTGATGTGCATAAGAAGATACACCGTACTTCACCACAAGCACTAGCAGGCTCTGTGATGTGCATAAGAAGATACACCGTACTTCACCTCAAGCACTAGCAGGCTCTGTGATGTGCATAAGAAGATACACCGTACTTCACCTCAAGCGCTAGCAGGCTCTCTGCTGGTTTTACAGATCCTCAAGCAAGACTCATTCCACACATCCTAATTGTGAATGAGAGATAATGGCTTGAAATGATCTAAATCAAGTTGACGGGGATCAAGGAAGGTGAACCTTGTAAACAAATGTCTGATAAAGTCAGATGTGTTGGCTAAAAGGTGAAAATATCACAGCTATGTTGTACACAGGTACAATGCAAATTACATTACTGGGATGATCGATATAGAAGAAGAAAAAGATATTTTCAACATTGCCAAAATACTATAAATATCTCTTTTATATTTCTTTCAACAACTGTCTTCCTATACTGACATTCTGCAGATCTCTTCTCATAATGAGTCTCTGCAGATCTCTTCTCATAATGAGTCTCTGCAGATCTCTTCTCAGAATGAGTCTCTGCAGATCTCTTCTCATAATGAGTCTCTCTAAAACTCTTCCCACACTGAAATTCTGCAGATCTCTTCTCATAATGAATCTCTGCAGATCTCTTCTCATAATAAGTCTCTGCAAACCTCTTCTCATTCCGAGCCTCTGCAAATCTCTTTTCATACTCTCCCCAAATCTCTTCTTATACTGAGTCACCGCAGATCTCTTCTCATGAGTCTCTGCAAATCTCTTTTCATACTGAGTCTCTCCAGGTCTCTCCTCATACTGAGTCTGCAAGTCTCTTTTCATACTGAGGACTAGAAATCTCTTCTGATACGAGTCTCTCCAGATCTCTTCTCAAACTAAGTCTATGCAAATCTCTTCTAATACTGAGTTGTCCAGATCTCTTTTCATTCTTGTCTCTGCAAATCTTTTCTCATACTGTTTCTCTTAAAATCTATTCTTATACTGTCTCTGCAAATCTTTTCTCATACTGAGTCTGCAAATTTCTTCTCATACTAAGTTTCTCCAGATCTCTTCTTATACTAAATCTCTCCAAATTTCTTCTCATACTGATTCTCTCAATCTCTTTTTTCATGCTGAGTCTCTCCAAATGTCTTCTCATACTGAGTCTGAATATCCCTTCTTATTTTGAGTCCGAATATCTCTTCTCATAAGGAGTTTCTCCAAATCTTTTCCCATGTGTCTCCCCAGATCTCTTCTCATACTGAGTTCCTGCAGAACTCTTCTTATTTTGAGTCTCTGCAGATCTCTTCTCATACTTAGTCTCTGCAAATCTCTTCTCATACTGTCTCTAATAAATCTCTTCTCATACTGAGTCTCTGCAAATCTTTTCTCATACCGAGTCTCTAAAAAATCTCTTCTCATACCGAGTCTCTGCAAATCTCTTCTCATACCAAGTCTCTGCTGCAAATCTCTTCTCATACCATCTCTGCAAATCTCTTCTCATACTGAGTCTCTAAAAAATCTCTTCTCATACCGAGTCTCTAAAAAATCTATTCTTATACTGTCTCTCCAAATTTCTTCTCATACTGAGTCTGAAGATCTCTTCACATGCTGAGTCTCTGCAAATCTTTTCTCATAGTGAGTCTGCTAACCTCATCTCATATTGAGTCTCTCCAGATCTCTTTTTATACTGAGTCTCTCCAGATCTCTTCTCAAACTGAGTCAATGCAAATCTCTTCTTATTCTGAGTCTCTGCAAATGTCTTTTCATACTTAGTCTCTTCATATCTCTTCTCATACTGAGTCTATCTAAATCTCTTATAATACTGAGTCTGCAGGTCTCTTATCATACTGAGTCTCTCGAGGTCTTTTCTCTCATGGTCTCTGCAAATCTCTTCTCATACTTAGTCTCTGCAAATGTCATACTGAGTCTCTTTAAATCTCTTTTCATGCTCTCTCCAAATCTCCTCTCATACTGTCTCTCTAAATGTATTTTTACACTGAATCTTTGAAAATCTCTTCTCATACTAAGTCTCTCGAGATCATACAGAATCTGTAAATCTCTTCCCCTACTGAGTCTTTCCAGATCTCTTTTCATATTGAGTCTCTACAGATCTCTTCTCCTACTTAATCTCTGTAAATGTCTTCTCATACTCTCTCCAAATCTCTTTTCATGCTGAGTCTACCTGGATCTCCCCTCATACTGAGTCTCTACAAATCTATTTTTACACTGAGTCTCTGTAAATCTTTTCTCATACTAAGTCTATCCAGATTTCTAATCAAACTGAAGTCTCTCCAAATCTCTTTTCATATTGACTTTCTACAGATCTCTTCTCATACTGAGTCTATCTAGATCTCTTCTCATACTGAGTCTATCTAGATCTCTTCTCATACTGAGTCTATCTAGATCTCTTCTCATACTGAGTCTATCTAGATCTCTTCTCATATTCTCTTCAGATCTTTTCTCATCCTCGCTCCAAATCTTCTCATTCTGAGTCTCTAGTGCTCTACTCATAATTAGTTTCTGCAAATCTCATCTTATTCTGAGACTCCAGATCTCTTCTCATACTAAATCTCTGCAAATCTCTTTCCATACTGAGTCTCACCAAATCTTTTCTCATACTGTGTCAGAAGATCTTTTCTCATACCAAGTCTCTGCATAAACAGTTTCATACTGTCTGCAAATCTTTTCTCATACAGAGTCTGAAGATCTCCTCTAATACTGAGTCTGTGCAAAGCTCTTCCCATACTGATTCTCTCCCAATCTCTTCTCATGCTAAGTCTCTCCAAATCTCTTCTCGCACTGAGTCTCTTCAAATCTTTTCTCATACTGACTCTCTGCAGATCTCTACTCATACTCTCTGCAAATCTCTTCTCATATTGAGTGTCTCCAAATCTGCACACAATTCTCTCTGTGACTGACAAATGTTTAAGACTGCACACATTTCTCTCTCTGTGACTGACAAATATTTAAGACTGCACACACATTTCTCTCTCTGTGACTGACAAATGTTTAAGACTGCACACATTTCTCTCTCTGTGACTGACAAATGTTTAAGATTGCACACACATTTCTCTTTCTGTGACTGACAAATGTTTAAGACTGCACACATTTCTCTCTCTGTGACGGACAAATATTTAAGACTGCACACATTTCTCTCTCTGTGACGGACAAATATTTAAGACTGCACACACATTTCTCTCTCTCTGTGACTGACATATGTTTAAGACTGCACACATTTCTTTCAGTGATTGACACATGTTAAGACTATACACATTTTTAGTTGTGATTGGCAAATGTTAACATTATACAGTTTCTAAGTGTGACTGACTTAAAAATTTCTAGTTGTGACCAAATGTCAGATGATGATAATTTTTAGCTTTGATGTGTTTCTAAAACTAAAGATTGAGCAGTCATTTACAGATACCTGTAACCGCATTTGTAATTATCAATTTAAACACCCAAAAAGGAATAACACATTTGCAGAGTTGTCCAGCTTAACTGAGCAGTGTTGCCCCAGCTTCCCTGAGCAGAGTTGTCCCAGATTCCCTGAGCAGAGTTGTCCCAGATTCCCTGGGCAGTGTTGTCCCAGATTCCCTGAGCAGTGTTGTCCCAGATTCCTTGGGCAGTGTTGTCCCAGCTTCCCTGAGCAGAGTTGTCCCAGATTCCCTGGGCAGTGTTGTCCCAGATTCCCTGAGCAGTGTTGTCCCAGATTCCCTGGGCAGTGTTGTCCCAGATTCCCTGGGCAGTGTTGTCCCAGCTTTCCTGAGCAGAGTTGTCCCAGATTCCCTGGGCAGTGTTGTCCCAGATTCCCTGGGCAGTGTTGTCCCAGATTCCCTGGGCAGTGTTGTCCCAGATTCCCTGGGCAGTGTTGTCCCAGCTTTCCTGAGCAGAGTTGTCCCAGCTTTCCTGAATGTTGAATGGGTACATCCATGAAGTATCTTTACAAGGTCTAGGTCATACATACTTGCAGATATCTAACAGATTCAGAGCGCAACACCGCAGTCAAATTTAGTCCAATGCCATTTCACAGAAGAGGCTTACTGAATAATTAGAATACTGGCTTCTCCTGTAGGAGACACAGATTCCAATCCTTGATAATGTGGATGAGATTTTTTTCTTACAGGGACAAAAATACAAATCCTACCTCGCTTAGGTGGTGGTGACTGTGATAGCCAGGCTTAAGCACATTCCCCACCTACCCTCTGCAATTCCTAATATTCAGGATCCAAGCCTCCTCCCCCCCCCCTCATCCTACAAACTTTAATCTTCATGATCAAGACAAACTTTATTTTTAAAATTATTTTGTGTGTGTTCAAGCCTTTATGCTGCAGCCTCAGGCTCAAGTGCCCCTCCCCCTCATCCCACCACCAAATGGCAGCACAATCCTAAAGCCTCAGGCTCAAGTGCCCCTCCCCCTCACCCCACCACCAAATGGCAGCACAATCCTAAAGCCTCAGGCTCAAGTGCCCCTCCCCCTCACTCCACCACCAAATGGCAGCACAATCCTAAAGCCTCAGGCTCAAGTGCCCCTCCCCCTCACCCCACCACCAAATGGCAGCACAATCCTAAAAATCGTAAATATCTGCAGTTATTTATTATTGTGTTCTTGTTGTTGCTATTGTTAACATGTGATAAATTCTTACCCAAAAGTGTGCACAGCAATTGACATCCACTGTCTTCTGCATGAGCTCATCAGGGCAGTCCAACAACTTCTTTCCTGTCACGATGCCAGCATTATTGACTAGGATGTCTACATCCCCGACATCCTGCTTGACCTGTAAAAATGCACATCTCAGTTACACCACCAACCCCAACAAACTCCCTTTTCTTGTAGGATATGTTGTGGTGTAACAGCACTGAACACACACTGTTATCATGTCATGTAAACATCAGACAGCAAAGGACAGAACCAGCAACAGTCATACACTCACACCCATACATTCACACTCACACAGTGCTTTAATGTCAAGTACACATCAAGCACAAAGAAAATGAGAAATATTGACATCTTAAAAGATCTGAACATCAAGGAAGATTGGCTAATAAACAGAATCCTTTTTCGGAAGCTGAAATATTTTGGCCATATCAAGCGCCAGAATGGATTGGAAAAAATTATAGCAGAAGGCATGGTACCAGGAAAGAGGGGCAGGGGCCGACCGACACGAAGATGGGCACAGGATATAAGTGACTCCTTGAGTATGAAAGTACATGAGGCGTGAGAACTGGCGAGAGACCGAGTTTCTTTCAGGCAGACTGTGATGAAAGCGACGTTCTGCAAAGGACCTGCTACATGATGATGAGACATCAGGCAGCACAAGACACAACAGTACCAGGAACACCCACACACTTACATACACTGTTATAATGTGACATCAGGCAGCACTAGACACAGCAGTACCAGGAACACCCACACACACACATACACTGTTATAATGTGACATCAGGCAGCACACGACACAGCAGTACCAGGAACACCCACACGCTTACATACACTGTTATAATGTCATGCAGACAGGCAGCATAAGACAGAACAAGGAACACCCTCATCAGCATCAAGTGCCGCACAAGTTGGACACAATCACAACTCACTCTATCAGCAGCTCTATAAATGTCTGTCCTCTTGGACAGGTCCACAGTGTAGATGGAGGCCTCACTTCCTGCAGACCGAACCAGTTCAGACGTCTGCTGGTTGCCCAGCTCGTCAATGTCCCAGAGAACTAATCGTGACCCTAACCTTGCAAATCTGACACTTAGCAGACGACCAATGCCACTTCCTGTTGTGCATAAAATAGAGTCATCATTATTCAAAGAACATTTTAGTGACATTAGAAGTAGAGTCAAAGTACAAGTCACTGAGGTTAATAGTACAGACATGGTACAGGACAGTGAGGTTTATAGTACAGTCATGGTACAGGACAGTGAGGTTTATATTGTGGTCATGGTACAGGACAGTGAGGTTTATAGTACAGTCATGGTACAGGACAGTGAGGTTTATAGTACAGTCATGGTACAGGACAGTGAGGTTTATAGTACATTCATGGTACAGGACAGTGAGGTTTATAGTACAGTCATGGTACAGGACAATGAGGTTTATAGTACAGTCATGGTACAGGACAGTGAGGTCAGCAGTACAGACATGGTACAGGATAGTGAGGTGAATAGTACAGTCATGGACTGTAGGACAGTGAAGATATAGTAATTATTTACTTGATTATTGTCGGAAGACACCGTTTCAAGTAGCCAACGATACCTTGACTCACGTACCACTCAGTTTGACACTTCGATTTCTTTCCTCTTAGCTACTTCAAGAGTGACGTCATTTTCCTCAGAGAGGACATTGAGGGATATTCCAATTAAAGCCTGTGATGGCTGGTTAACAAATTCCCACTGAGTCTAATTTGTAATTCCCCCTGTACTTTCAAATATAGTATTTGCTGCTAGCAAATTCGGCAATGCTGCTGCAAAAACCTGGCCACCAATGGAATCCTCGCTGGTGGATGAGATAGCCAGCATTGACTTCAGGTCGCTAGCAGGAGAAAGTGTGCAGTTTTTGAAGACAACTATAATTTTGTTCTTTCAGCCACCTAAAAAACACTAGCAGTGTGACCGTATAGTTACATCTAGATCCAGCTGCTGAAAAGCCAAAGACAGATTCCTTGTTCCCCGTCCTGCCGGCTTCCAGACCACTGTCAGGCTGGTCGTAGTTGATGACTGATGACTGAAGTGCCCTGAGGAAGGTCTTGGTGATTGGGACAGATTCAACATTCCACCTTATTTTTTGAAACGTATGATTCTCTGGGAAACCCCAGGTGGTAATTGTTATTTCACACTTATCCTCTCACGATGACAGTTTCATGTGACTTTCATTTTTATCTTTCATGAAATCTATTTAGTTTGAATATAGTAGTTAAAAAATAAATATATGATTATTAATGAATTTATTTTAATAAACATATCTGTGATTAATTGCATTCATATTTGCAGTTTAATGTGATTTCTACATATGTGTATGTCAGTTAACTGCTTATACCACAGTTGTTATTCTAGATGATCTTCTTTTGTTCTATGTTAATTGTCTAATCACTTATTTACATTTGTTCTGTAGAGTTGTCTAGTCAATGATCTAGTTCATTTTGTATAGATGTCCTCTTGTTCCCTGTCTGTCTCCAGACAATTTCAAGACTGTGGTGAAGAGTTACCTGCTCCTGTCACCAGGACAACCTGGTCACTGACATCTTTCTTGCTCTGGAATCTGCTGGGAACTAGAGCTTTGATGACAGCCAACAGCCAAAGCCCAATGACCTTGAAGATCACAACCAGTAGCTCTAGGAGAACATTCATGGTCCCTTAGAACCCTGCAAGATTAAACAAGAATGGACTGAACAAACCAGCTCACACTTAAAAGTTAAGTTTAAAGTCAAGAGCACTGCTTATACTGAACTAGGTTTTGTTACATATGTCTCTCTGTCTTTTTTTCAGAGAGCTGCTATTGCATGAGTGTCACACATGGCATGAACTCCATGGCTCTGGTATTGATCCCCAGGGAAGTCCACACAAATGGCACCCATGAACTGAATGAGGCAGTCAATGAGAGGAGCACACCACATCACAGCACCAGGCAAAAAGCTCACACACTTGGCCAGATATGATGCTAAAAATTCAAGTAAACTGAACATCATCAAGCATTTCATGACACATATTACCAAACTCAAGTGACTGGCCAAGTCTGCTCAGAATGCCTCAACTATTTATAGACATAACCACAATGACCAGTACAACTAAACAACACTATCAGAGCCGCAGAGTGGAGCTTAACCAAACTCCTTCAAGTAATGAGATTATTACTTGGCCATGGTCACAGTCAAGTGAAAGACACAATGTTACACAGTGAGGTGAATGACACATGCTACACAGTCAAGTGAATGACACCGTGCTACACTGTGAGGTGAATGACACCATGCTACACAGTGAAGTGAATGACACCACTCTACACTGTGAAGTGCATGACACCATGCTACACTGTGAAGTGAATGCCACCATGCTACACAGTGAAGTGAATGACACCATGCTACACAGTGAGGTGAATGGCACCATGCTACACAGTGAGGTGAATGACACCATGCTACACAGTGAGGTGAATGCCACCATACTACACAGTGAAGTGAATACCACCATGCTACACAGTGAAGTTAATGCCACCATGCTACACAGTGAGGTGAATGCCACCATGCTACACAGTGAAGTGAATGACACCATGCTATACAGTGAGGTGAATGGCACAATGCTACACAATGAGGTGAATGGCACCAGGCTACACTGTGAAGTGAATGACACAATGCTACACAGTGAGGTGAATGCCACCATGCTACACAGTGAGGTGAATGCCACCATGCTACACAGTGAAGTGAATGACACCATGCTATACAGTGAGGTGAATGGCACAATGCTACACAATGAGGTGAATGGCACCAGGCTACACTGTGAAGTGAATGACACAATGCTACACAGTGAGGTGAATGGCACATGCTACGTGGTGAAGTGCATGAAACCATGCTACACATTGAGATGAATAGCACCATGCTACACATTGAGGTGAATGAAACCATGCTACACATTGAGGTAATCTGGGAATTTTAATTTCAGCTTCATAGCAAACGGGCCACCCCATCTTTGCTCCGCTCCTGTGCCAAGAAAAACACACAGAATGTTTATCACAGTCCCTTGTGGAAAGACTGACAAACTGCTGTCTCAGCAAATCTAGCATACACTCGCATTAAATGCATATGGTAGCCATCCGAAGTGCTAACACAAACAGTCCGATGTTAGAAATGCAGTTCATCATTGATGGTAGCAGAAGTCATTAAAAGATCAGCAGTTGCACGCGTGATCAATTTTAATCAAATAATGGCCCCACTAATATTGCGACAACTGGCATCGCGCCATTTTCTGAATCTACAAATCACACCACCACGTTGGTCAGTAGAAAAACATTCCAAATGGAATCCGCAGCTCACAGTGTCACGCCATGCACTTAACTCAGAAGCTGGGCAACGAAACTATATACTTCCAGTTTACAAATTGAGCAAAAAAGCAACAGCCACAGTCTGGCATAAGCAAAAATTTATACCTCGGATCAAAACAGTGGCAGTGCCTAGTGTTCATTTGGACCTGAAGCATCATGTAAGGGTTAATAAACTGTCACCCCAGCAGTACCCTACTATTAGCTGGGGAAGGGATTTAGGACATTACATCCACCAGCAAGCCCCGCCCAAAAAACAGCCTGACTGCCTTCGTTAATAACTGTTCACCCAACAGCCATGCAGTTCTTTGGCACGAAGGAGACACCTTGAACTTGGGTTTCAGACTGCCGACTCCCTACACGAAGATACATTGAAGTGAATGACACCATGCTACACAGTGAAGTGAATGACACCATGCTACACATTGAGGTGAATGGCACCATGCTACATAGTGAAGTGAATGACTTCATGCTACACATTGATGTGAATGACACCATTGTACACATTGATGTGAATGACACCATGCTACACAGTGAAGTGAATGACACCATGCTACACATTGAGGTGAATGGCACCATGCTACATAGTGAAGTGAATGACTTCATGCTACACATTGATGTGAATGACACCATTGTACACATTGATGTGAATGACACCATGATACACATTGAAGTGAATGACTTCATGCTACACATTGATGTGAATGACACCATTGTACACATTGAGGTGAATGACACCATGATACACATTGAAGTGAATGACTTCATGCTACACATTGATGTGAATGACACCATTGTACACATTGAGGTGAATGGCACATGCTACACAGTTGAGCTGTGGTGTTAAAGCAGAAAAATGTCATCCTGAGTCCTCACAGAGCTGTGGTGCCTTACAAGACAGAGATAGACGTTTGAACTATATGATCTGATAGAAGCACTTGTGTAGTCAAATATGTCCCACTGTTTTGATGAAACTGCAAGTGAAGATATTAACATGTATAGAATAGACATGGTCCAAATATATCATACTCCACATCACAAACTGATCTTATATAAATATAACAGATAGCAGCGGCACTCTTCCGAATACCGGTCCCAAATTATTCACTGAGAAAAATATTTTTTTTTCTCAAACATGTGGCCCTGAATCCCACACGGCCCTGGATCCCAGTTACTGTGAACAATGGATCAAAAACTATTCCCCCCCCCCCCATATCGCTATAATGCATTGAAAACTACTCCTCCCCACAACGCTTCAACATTGGATCAAGATTTATTCTTCCTTACAATACTTGAATGGATCGAGAAGTAATCCTCCCTACTGCGCTTAGCTTAACGTCTAAACATTGCTATCCTTCGTGCTATAACGGCAGAAGTGGAAACTGATCATGGGGGCCTAAATGTTGTTACTACAGTACATAACCTCTTGACGCTCCCAACGAGATGTTTTTCGCAGTGAATAATTTGGGACCGGTATTCGGAAGAGTCGCAGCTTTGCATAATCTTATAGCCTCAAATGAGCTCAACACATATGACATAAGAAACAGTCATGAAACAGAGAAATGAAGGCTCAACACAGGCACTCAGCCAGGACTATGTAACAAACATCTTGTAACAAAGACCTTGTTTCACGGCCCTGAACTGGTCAGTCGTCGATGTGATCACAGCACTATTATTTATTATCTCATGTGTATATAGTCTCAAATTGTTATCTCATGTGTTATGTTTCACACTGTTATCTCATGTGTGTTGTTTCACACCGTTCTCTCATGTGAAAGATGTCAAAAAGCCAGTGCACTTTTAAACCAAGTGTTGCCAATAATAAGACATACATCAATACATACGTAATACTACAAAGAAACAGGTTATAAACAGCATATTCATACCAACACTGTGCTACCAGTGCCAAATTTGGACATTATCAACACTGTCTGATATCATTTAAACAAACACATAAACCTTACCCTAAATCAATTATCTGATATAAATTATATTTTGTCATATTTGTTATTTGTAAATGATACATTCAAATATGTATATAAAATTAGATATATCGTGTAAAGTAATAACAGTACAATTACAAATTCAAAACACGACACATGCACTCGTCCACTATCAGCAGATCTAATTTTACGAAAGGCATGTTTCTTAACGTAGTAACGCTACTATCCAAGAATCACAAAAGAAAGTTAAATTGAATTGTTTCGGGTAAAATAGTATAGTCCATATAACTCAGCTAGGAGGCGAGGTGGAGGACACTCGACATGAGTGGGTGCTAAACTAAACCACCACTAGTGCTGCAATACTGAGGTTATGTCACGTACTAACTAAACTAAGCACACACACACACACATTTGTTGACTTTATCCAAGTACAGAAACAGCACAGAACACCCACTGGCGATGTATCCTAATAACCTATAATAAATAGCTGTCAAACAACGAACGAGAGGCTAGTTTCTAATCTAGATGTCTCACTGAATGTACAATCTTGTCTTTGTTCACTCAACCACGACCGTGCCACCCAGCCGAGCAGGCCAGGGCTGCCAATGAGATTTTTGTCAAAAACCCAGATGGGGCTGACGAAAACCCAAGATATGAACAAAAAATAAAATAAAAAACCCAGCACTGTGCAAAAAGTATTTTATAGTTATGAAACTGAACATATACCCACCTTTATTAAACTGTTACTCTAACAAAGCTCCTTCTTCACCAATTTCAATTGTCACCGTCTCTTTCTGTTTTTTTTTTTAATACTGTTTAAATATCTTTGACTAACTGCGCCACTTTGCAATTCTTTTAGCAATTCTTTATTAGGTGCATGTCGTGCAGTCGCTATTTCCTCTTGTGATTGCTTGCCTTGCAAGAATTCGATCTTTTACAGTGTCTGCTTTCAGAGAATTAGTTTGTTTAGTTTTGACACAGATCATCAGGGAAAAATGCGTTCAACCGTTGCTGACGAGTGAGGCAAAATAGTGAGATTGGTCATAAAAGCGGATAAAATATCATATTTTACATTTTAGGCCATCTTTTATGCTTCTCAATTGGTACCAATACTGCCATTCCTCTTTGAAACACTGAGCATACCATTTTCTTTTCTTCGATGGTGTAATCTGTTCACTCATTTTGAATTCAACGAGGTTATAATCAGAGTAAATTTTGATAGCACAGTTCAACAAACCACAACACAGAAAAAAAAAAAAAAACTAGTGAAAACTTAACTAAAGGTCCCTCCCTAGTAGTCCTTAGTTGGTTTCTGCTAATCTGCTTTATTTCAATTCAACCACTGAGACGCTACAATGTCAGGTCAATTACCCCTAGAAGAGAGGAAAAGTCTCCCAAACTTTCTTCAATAATTAAATGTCAGGTCACTTCTTTCTTCTGTAAAGTTTACGATCAAAAGTCCCAGGCCTAATCTATTTTGCTTCTCCGCCCCTAGTATCTGTTACTTAAGGGACACTACTTGGGGATCGTAAATCTGGTCCTTTGGTGGTCTGCTACATTTTCCTGAATAGCCCTGGAGTTAACCTTTGTATTCTGTTACATTAATTACACTGAGTTTATTTTAAGTGTTTGTAGGACATTTCAAAATATAATTTGCAGGTAAAACTATTATAGATATGTGTACACACATTATTCTTGTTAGAATATTTATTAATTGTAGTTTTTTTCATCATTAAGACTGAAAACCCAAGATTTTCAATAATTTTCAAAATAAAAACCAAGAAACCAAGACGGCAACTAAAAAACCAAGATCTTGGGGAAAAAACCCAGCATTGGCATCCCTGAGCAGGACGCGTGCCGGGCAGTGTTGCCACTTTTCTTTGACAAAAAATATCCAAATCGGTGTCAAAAAATATCTAAAAAGATCTAAATCTGCGTAGAAAAGATCTAGAAAAAACATCCAAATTGAAAAAGTCAAAAATTACATAGCTTTTGTTATGACTTACCCTACATAATCATGTCCTCGCCTTCACTGATGTCTACCTCACAAGATCCACAGGATAAACTTAGCTTGGCTAATGAAGTTGAAGCTTCGGATCCAAAATGACCATTTTATGCTTTAGCTGTTCAAATTTCTTTATAAGTGGAACAGTAGGCTCATTTCTCTTGTCTCATCAGGTCGAATTTTAATGGCACGATACAGACAACATAGACCTTTATAATCACGAGGAAGGACACACATCAGGAGAAGTAATCGATTCACCCACATTAAACGAACTACTGTTTGCTGACGACCAGTGCTTGTTCTACCCTGAAGAACATGGACTGCAAGACCACATTAACAGGTTAAACTCAGCATGTAGTAAATACAACACGAAGATAAATGTAAACAAAACCGAAACAATGCAAGTTAGTAGAAATTCTGCCCCACTACACATACAGCTGAATGGTTCTGCCCTGAATCAAGTTAGAGAGTTTAAATATCCAGGAAGTATGATCACAGAAGATGGTAGAATTGACAGAGAAATAGAAACCATATGTCAGAAAGCAAGTGCACTTATATATCAATTGTCACCATTATTAAGACATCCAAGCATAACTATGAGT